CCAACTCTTCCATGGGCAAGTTTTGTCTTGTCATTTGACTGCCCAGGTAAGGACTATGTTTCTCAGCTCCCTTTCTACAGGTGTGGCCATGTGACAAGGCTCTGGTCCCTGAGCGGTGCCCAGGCTCCACCCTTCCACCATTGTTGCCATGGTTGCCGGACTGGGAGGAACGTGAGGGACCTGCCTCTGTGCGTGAAACATCTAGGTGACCGTGACAGTGGGAGCTCTCTGTTGGAAGAAATGGCCTTGGTAGAAAGGGAGAGCCCTGGGAGCTCACTGGCAGGTGTCAGCTTTTTCTGCTGCCGAACTAACCTAGACTTGCTGAGCCAGCTCTTTGCCAGTCTACCGAAAAGGGTCTTCTTTTCCAGATGGGCTTCCAGGGGCATTTCCTTTAGCTGAATTATGTAAGTTTTGTTATTCCTGGGAGCATAGACACAGCTATGTCAGAGCACAGTACTGAGGGATGGCAGCAAGTCACCCTGTCCAATGTTGACCCACGCCAACATGCCTTGTGTGACACAGTGAGTGCTCGGTAGCACACCAGGAATTGGACTTTGCAACAAAGACCCTTCAGAATGACAGACATTAAGAAGTTTCTTACCGTAAAACACTGAGATGGTCATTGGAATAAGGATGACTATATTACTGGGCACCTGGACAAATGTCACTAGGAAAAAATGATCCGAGGGACAAATGTGTTCTCTGCCGTTTAGCTTGAGTGCTGATTTTACATCACGCTTGGTCTCCTCACACTATTAACCATTTTGGATTTTTCCATAATGAAAGTGAAAAATGTCTTAAAATTACTGTACTCGTTATAGATGCTGAAGGGACCCTCATACCCCATCACTTCATGCCAAGTCTGAAGTCTGGTAAACTGCCACTGCTTGGGTTCGGGCCTCACCATGTCTTGATGGATTGCTGCAATAATGGCCCCTCCCCCCTAACTAACTTCTTTCTTCTTCCTCTTCCCTGCCCCAGTCTATTCTCCACACTACTGAATTTTCTCTGAAATGCAAATCTGATCATGTTACTCTTCTCAATCTAACTCTTTATTAGTTATCTTTGCTTACAGGATAATTCAGAACAAGACCCAGCTGTATCTGCTTTTCCCTCTCCCAACATCTTTTTTTTAAAACAATCTGTGTGGGTAATTTCTTTTTATTTTTCAAACCCAGTTTGTCACATCCTCTGTGGTGTGCCTTTTGTTTCCCTGAGACAGTGATAATCACTCCCTCCCCTTTGCTACCTTGCCCATACCGCTGTTTTGTACCCATCACCCTGCACAATCCAGGATAAGTAGTTACCTACAGAGCTATCTCCCTCCTTAAGGACCTAAAACAGTGGTCCGCAAACTCATTAGTCCACAGAGCCAAATATCAACAGTACAACGATTGAAATTTCTTTTGAGAGCCAAATTTTTTAAACTTAAGCTATATAGGTAGGTACATTGTTATGAACTTAATTAGGGTACTCCTAAGGCTTAGGAAGAGCCACACTCAAGGGGCCAGAGAGCCGCATGTGGCTCGCAAGCTGCAGTTTGCCGACCACGGACCTAGAACAATGCTGGAGCATAGTAGAGCCTCAATAAATGTTTTGTCAAACAAAGCACAGAATTTTAAGAATTAGTAGAATTCATTTGCAAACACAAATCAATGAATTAGTAAAACTTTTTTTTGGTCTGTATTTAGTCAACCTGGTGCATTGGGAACAGCATGTGGGAGCTGCTTCTGACATGCTGTGGTTCCCTGTCCCTATAGGCAGGGGAGGGGAATCCCTACTTGTGTTATGGATTGAATTGTGTTTCCCCAAAAGTGCATATGGTGAAGTCCTTAAAATGTGACTTTATTTGGAGACATAGTCTTTACAGAATTAATCAAGTTAAAATGAGGTCATTGGGATGGTGTTATGGGCTGAATTGTGTATGTTGAAGCCCTAGCTCCCCAGTACCTCAGAATGTGACTGTATTTGGAGAAAGGGTCTTAAAAGAGGTGATTATGTTCAAATGAGGCCAGTAGAGTGGGCCCGAAGCCAATCATACTAGTGTTCTTATAAGAAGAGGAATCTGGACACCCAAAGAGGGACCGGGGATGTGCATGCACAGAGGAAAGACCATGTGAGACATAGCAAGAAGGTGGCTGTCTGGAAGCCAAGGAGAGGAAGGCCCTGGCCGGCAGCTGGAAGGCCCCAATGGGCTCTGATCGCCATCCAGGCCTAGAGACCCTACCTGTGCATGAATTTCATGCACCGGGCCTCTAGAGTCCTTATAAGAAGGGGAAATTAGAACAGAGATATGCATGGAGGGAAGACAATGTAAAGAGTCATCAGAAGACAGCCCACTATTAGCCCAGGAGGGAGCTCTGCAACAGATCCTTCTCTAACGGCCTCAGAAGGGACCAACTGTGCCAACACCTTGATCTTGGACTTGCAGCCTCCAGAACAGGGAGACCATACATTCCTACTGGTTAAGCCACCAGATCGTGGTACATTGTTGTTATGGCAGTCCTAGCAAACTAATACACCTTCACCGTTGTAACCCTTATGAGCATTTCTTATTAATGTACACACCAACTGAATTAGAATATCAACTCTAGAACGACCTTCCCCAGCTCACCCTTTGCATTTTACAGGTGATAGAACAGAGCCCCAAGAAAGTGAAAGGGCTGCCCCGTGCAGGGTAGTTCTCTAGGACTGAGCTGAGGTCCTGACAGGGCTTTTCCCATGGCGCCTTGCGTCTGCTTCGCCTGCCTCTCCACAGCTTCCAGGAACCTGCTTCAATTCTCGATAAATCTGGTTCAGGCCAGTGCATACTTGGTCCTGAAACTAGCTTAGATGGATATGAGCATCTTTACGGGTTTTTTTTTTGGACTGTCCTGGGTCAAGTGCCCGAGTAAAAGCTCTAGGGCCTGCCAAGACTTTGGAATGCACTAAAATTCCTATTCAACCACATCGAGAAGCGTGAGAAGAGTTCTTCCCCTTTTTTGAGATGGGCCAGAGAGGGCTGCTGTGACCAGAGAGGGCTGTGCAGGGTTCAGAGCCGCTGCTTCCTCAGCCCCAAGGAAAAACAGCAACACATTTACTGTGATTTGTCAGGCATTTTAAGTGTGTGATGTCTTCCACTGGTACCTGTGAGGGTTCCAGGGTCGGACAGCTCAGCTCTGTCACTTGCTCTGTGTGATCTTTTTATACTTTTATGTCCTCATCTGTTAGTTGGGAATACTGACACTACTTGGTTGCTGTGAGGATTAAGAGGATGCTACATGACTGGCATATAGTAAACAATAAAGACCTGTCCGTTATGATTTCAGAGAAAGAACCTAAGTCTTGGTTAAGCGACTTACTTTTGTAAGCAAAAGGGACAGGGTTGGATCTGGGACCTCTGGGGCCATGTCCTGTAAACTCCGCTGTCTTGGTCCCACCGGCACATTCTGAATGACTGTGGCCAGGGAGAGGGGCCTGAACTGGGAGACAGCCTCTGAATGTCGTTGGTGGGCAAGCAGCCAGACACATGTCTAGGCGGGCAGATGACTGACTTGCCATGAATGGCTGGGGAGGCAACACCTGGTGGGTTCAGTTCACCAAGGAACCGGACTGGAGGCCAGGCGGGATTTGCCCAGCAGTTCATGTGGGAATACCCAGGTGAGTCTCTAACTGGAGATGCTCTAATGAAGTGCATAAACTGGCTGGCTTTCCCTGTCTCTCCATCCTTGGTCATTTGGAAATCCTTCCACGTAAACTCCAAACCTACTGTGGGAGGAGTCTCCTTGGAGATTCCCAGGGGATGCACAGAGGGCATCAGCAATGCCTTGCAAGGCCAGCACCCGGTTCTCTGTCCCCGAGACAGGGACACAACATATGTTGGTGAAAACAGTCAGTGCTTATCTTCTTTCCAACTCCCAGTGCCTAGGTGGGCTTGCTTAATCAGCCCTCTGCTCCTTTCGAAAACAGAATAATGGTGATTTTCCTTCTAGTGAAGGAGCAATCAGAAGATCTAGGTGCCGACTCTGCCATGTATAAGTTGAAGAAACTTGAGAAAGGCAGCTAAATACCGTGAGCTTCAAGTTCCTTGTCTGCAAAATGAGGGTGATGCTATCAAGGTTCTTGTGAGGATCAAAAGAGACCATGGCAAGTGCCTTTGCAATGACCCAGTGCTAGACCATTTGTCATTATTCCCACACTTCCCAGTCCAAGTCTTCCTCAGAGAGCTGACTCCCTGAATCCTCTCACCCGCCATGGGATCCACAGGCAATTCCGTAAAAGTGGTCCTTCATTACATCCTGCTTTTCGTTATTGAGCAAATGTTTTATGTCTTATCTTTATAACACGTTGCTGGAGAGCAGATCACATGTCATATGTATTCCCAATTTCCTACAGCCTAGGACCAGTGGTCGGCAAACTCATTAGTCAACAGAGCCAAATATCAACCGTACAACGATTGAAATTTCTTTTGAGAGCCAAATTTTTTAAACTTAAACTATATAGGTAGGTACATTGTTATTAACTTAATTAGGGTACTCCTAAGGCTTAGGAAGAGCCACACTCAAGGGGCCAAAGAGCCGTATGTGGCTTGCGAGCCGCAGTTTGCCGACCACGGGCCTAGGTGATCAATAAGTACTTATTGATGGTATAGAACTGTCCACCATTGGTGGAGTAGGGATGTGGGAGTCAGTACCTGCTACCGGCACCCCCTCACTCAGCCACCCCTGCTGACTGGAGCCAACGCGAGAGGAGAGAAGAAGGATTGTGACTTGGAGACCGGGGCTCTGGGTCTGCCTCCATCATTTCTCATTGGTTTCCTCAATTGTGAACTGAGTGTAATAATGCCACCCTCGTCATGATGGGCAGAGAGCACTCCCTGAATACACATGGGAGGCTTTTATAAACTAGAGAGAAAATGTAGCGTTGCTACCCAGGTAAAGGCCGTGGCTATAGAAGCAGAGTGATTGGTCCAGGTGGGACTGAGCCCATAGCATTAAGGTGGCACACTAGCCACCACTCACCTGAATAGGAATAGGAGCTGCAGCTGGACCACGGGGTGAAGGTCTGGGAACGGTTGCTGATGGGGTTGCTCGCGGTGCAGGTGTAGTTATCGTCAGCGTGCTGGGGGCCGAGGGTGAGGTACAGAGGGTGAGAGCCATTTGCTGCACTCAACAGGTGGGGGCCTGCCTCCGTGCTCCAGCCGTAAACCACGTGGTCCCCCTTCTCCGCCGTGCAGGCCAGCATCAAGCTGCAGTTCCCATTCTCCAGGGTCCAGTTCAGCACTTTAATTTCTGGGGTGGAGACCTGCTCTGTCATGAGGGGAGAAAGGGAGTCATCACTGTCATGAGCCCCCTGAGATTCTGACTTGATCTTTTTATTAGAAGAAAATGCAGCCTCCATGTTCCCTCCCAATGGGTCTGCAAGTGTGACTTATTTCTAGCAGGGACCTACAGGTCCGCACCATCCCTCTCTCCCCACATGCTCCTTGCCTGGGCCACCGTGGGATAAAATAGAGAAGAAAAAATTGTCTTTCAGTGGATCCCCTGGCCTTCCCTGATGTGCCTGATTTGGGTTGCTCTGTATTCTATCTGTGGAGTTTGCTGTTAATAAATGCCCCACAGGTTTAATTGTTTTTGGCTAAAGTATCACCTCCAAGACCTAAAAGAATGCCTTTTCATGGTAGAATCTGTGTGTGTGTGTGTGTGTCCAGGGCTTTAGAATGTCTGAAGTAGAGGCCTCATTGATCTATCTCACTTTAATGCCATGCAATGGGCAAGGGAAAGGAAAACGTTTTATTTATTTGGCAACTACTATAGGACGGGCACAATGCTGACATTTTACATTCATCGCATTCTTTAATCTTCCTAAAAACTTTCTTAAAATTACAACCCTTGTTATACTTATTCCCATTTTACAGGCGAGGAAACTAAGTCCCAGAGAAGTGTAATACCTTTTTAATATCACCCAGCTTATAGGCAGCCAAGCTAAGAGCTGAACCTCAGTCTGTCTGACTGAAAAATCCAGCCTCTTCCTTCGACTTGAGAATATCATGGCTGCAGAGACCATATTTTCCAAGGAAAGAATTTGATCACAAAATGTGACAAGATGTCACAAAGGCAGGGTGAACTGTTCTGGAATATGCATGACGTATAGCCTCCACGCTCACAGCAGCCTGTGCCAGGACCACCATGCGACTGATCAGGACTCCCGGGTACTTGCTGGAGGGCTGTAGGAATTCTGCGTACACTGTTTGGAGGGAAAGGAATTCTAGGGCAGAGAAAGGGTGAGGAGGGTATTTCTGTCTCTCCTGTAGGGACCTGTGGATTTCAAAGAAATGCTGAGGAGTAGGTGGAGCTTCCTGTCCCATCCTCAGAGACAAGGCAGCAGGACAGCCCACATGGTGGTAGGGCCCATGGGAATTCAAGAAAACTTCTGAGGCTGAGATACAAACTGGGTGCCTTCAAGAGGGGCTGGGATTAAAAAGGCTCAGTGAAGCACTGGCCTCGGATTCAGATGAACCTAGACCAGTGATGGTGAACTTTTTGAGCTCGGTGTGTCAGCATTTTGAAAAACCCTAACTTAACTCTGGTGCCGTGTCACATATAGAAATTTTTTGATATTTGCAACCATAGTAAAACAAAGACTTATATTTTTGATATGTATTTTATATATTTAAATGCCATTTAACAAAGAAAAATCAACCAAAACAATGAGTTTGCGTGTCACCTCTGACACACGTGTCATAGGTTCGCCATCACTGATCTAGGTTCTAGTTTAATTCTGCAGTTAAGTGACTTTATAACCAGAGCTTTTGTTCAAATGAGAAAAAGTTGCCTCTTCCCCCAGGAAAATGCAATGCTTGGCCAGGGCACAGGGCTTGGAGGATGGTGCGTGGGCTGAGTTTCAGCTCTCCTCCTCCCACCACCCACACAGATGTGTGAAAGCTTGTACAAACCACTTCTCTGGATTTCAGTCCTCATCTATGAGAGGTGGAGCTTGATCAGTGCTATTCAAACTTTTAAAAATCAGGGGGTAAAAAGCCACCTTTAAAAAAAAACAAAATCTTACTTGCAAATTGAGACTCTCAGGGCTCCAGGCCCCCTGGCCCACAGGCAGCTGTGCTCTTTTCCTTTGGTGTGGGAAGCACAGGACTTGGTTGGAAAGTCTGTAAGGAGGATTCTTAGAAAGGTCGGAGGCCTCTAGGGCAGTGGTTCTCAACCTTCCTAATGCCGTGACCCTTTAATACAGTTCCTCATGTTGTGGTGACCCCCAACCATAAAATTATTTTCATTGCTACTTCATAACTGTCATTTTGCTACTGTTATGAATCGTAATGTAAATATCTGATCTGCAGGATGTATTTTCATTGTTACAAATTGAACATAATTAAAGCATAGTGATTAATCACAAAAAACAATGTGTAATTATACATGTGTTTTCCGATGGTCTTAGGTGACCCCTGTGAAAGGGTCGTTCGACCCCCAAAGGGGTCGCAACCCACAGGTTGAGAACCGCTGCTCTAGGGGAACCTTGTCGAAGGTGGCAGACCCCGACTTGACTTTTCCAAACAAGTCTGAGCCCACGGGTGTTTTATTGGAATCTATGTTTAGACTTCAGACGTCCTTGCTTAAAGGACACTGCAGATGCATGTGTTTTCTCAAGGATGCTTACCCTGCTGATAGTATCTAAAAGTTAATTTCAGTTCAAGCTGTTGCTACAATTAAGCCAAAGGAGTCAGGCAAACGGAGCTGTTTGGTTCCTTTAGCCAGACAGTCCCTTAGCCCTCTCTTTCACAGAAACATGTGTCAGAATAATCATTCATCCGTCACTCAGTGTCTGGTGGTCAGCCCCAGCACTTTGGGAAAGTGGGGTCAGGGTGACTATGCTAATCAGCTACCACCAATGTACAATTCGGACAAGGAAGATTTTCGAACCTAACACTTCCTTCTAAAGCACAGTTTAAATACCCCCAGACTAGGTGATCTTTCACATGCTCCCTCTTCTGACTATTCTTTGCGTCTGAGAGAAGCTTTAGATCTTAGGCAAGGGACCATTATGGCCCTCCAGTGTGGAGAAGCAACCATTCTTACCATAGAGCTTCAGCTGCAGGCAAAAGTGCTGGACTGAATCTGTTTTCTCCAGGGTCATAGTGTACCAGCCCTCATGCTCCTTTTTGCTTTCCAGGATCTCCAGGTTCAAGTTTTCCTGGTAAAACTTATAGCCATCTTCCAGGTAGCGTGAAGAGCCTTCTTCTGGCAGATCAAGAGACACGATTTTCTTACTGGACCTGTTTCCCGGTGATTTTGCCCATGTGATGAACATGTGGATGCTCTTGTTCATACTCTTACTTATCCCTTCAGATATCAGGGGCAGCAGCACACTGCTTCCCAACTGCCCGAAGATGGTTGGGCAACCTGTGGGAGGAAGAAGAAGACAGTCCCTTATTATGGGGGCCTTTGAGAATCACATGGTGGTCAGGATCCCTGGGAATTCAAGGGAACCTCGGAACCTAAGAGATACAAACTGGGTGCCTTCGAGAGGGGCTGGGATAAGAAAGGCTCAGTAAAGCACTGGATGGATTCAGAAGAACCTAGACTCTAGTTTAATTCTGCAGTGAAGTGACTTTATATCCAGAGCCTTTGTTTAAGTGAGAAAAAGTTGCCTCTACCACCAGGAAGATACAACGCTATGCCAGGGTGTGGGGCTTGGCGAGTGGTGTGTGGGTCAGGAATGGCAGAGTAGGCTTTCCAGGCCTTAGTGATCTATAAAGACTGTCAAGAGGGTCCTGCTGTATTTGTAATATTTCAGTGGAAATTTTAAAGTTACTTATTATAGAGCTGTATAAACTAACTAGGACACTGGGTTTCTTTGACCTGGGAGGGAATTCTATCAACTGAGATTTATAGTTAAGGCACCTAAGGCATAGAGAAGTTAAATGACTTCCTGAAAATCACATAACTGGTAACTGGACTGGAATCCAGGTCTGGTAATTCCTTCACCTGGCTTCTCACCACTATGTACTCTGAAGGATGGATGTAGGGAGCGGCTATAGGATTAAGCCTCCTTGGACTGACCTGTGGCAGGGCCACGAACAAGTCCCAGCCTGGAGGGCAGAGCTCTCCTAGCATAATTAAGCCTGACCTTGCAGCCCTCCCTAATTCTTTCCTAAGTAGCGAATGGGCTGTGGGAGGTGCAGCAAGTGTTGCCAAAACAAGAACATTTGTAAACTTGTTAATGTTGTTATAATCAGACTATAAAATAAAGCATCAGCTTGCAGGCTGGATCTCTCTGTGTCCTCATCCAGGCATGGAAGATCCTCCAAGCCCCAGTTGTATTCTCTTTGTCTGTCTTCCTTAAATCCTTCACCGTCCCTCCTCAGGTTCACCCTTGGCCATGCTGGCATGGCACAGATGGAGAGCAACTGGAAGTGATTCTGAGCTCGTGAGCCCAGGAGACCAAGGTTACAAGAGTGTCATTTCAGACAATGGAAATGAGAAAAGTCTGAGGAAGGTGGAGTCAGGGAGGTTTTGAGCCCAGTGTTGAAACTGTGGTTTTCTAGCCCTCCCCAAACCCTCAAGATAGTTAATCATGTTGAGGGTCAGAAATTATTTTATTTTTCAAAAAAAGTGGAGCTGTCCTGGCCAGTGTGGCTCAATTCCTAGTCAAAGGCATATGCCTGAGTTTCAGGTTTGATTCCCAGCCTGGTCATTGCACATGTGGGGAGGCAACCAATTGATGTATCTTTCTCACATTGATGCTTCTCTCTCCCCTCCCCTCTTCCACTTTCTCTTAAAAAAAATCAATGAAAAAAAATATTCTCGGGTGAGGATTAACAACAACAAAAAGCAGAACCAACAACAGCTGTAAAAACCCCAAACCGTTCAAACCAATTTAAGGGATCCCACTGTTGACTATTTAACACATCTTCTCTCCTCAAACCCACAACCTCAGCTGACGACCCTGCTTCCGATTTCACTGAAGAATAGAAGAAATAAAAAGAGAACTTCCATGAATTAGCACCACCAAGGTGACCTACCTACCTGGATGGGTTGCCTATACTCCCAGGGAAGGCTAGCTTCCTCCTTCATGGAGCACTCACCTACTTCAAGGCTTTGTTCCTACAATTGCCCCACCCCTCGCATCATGGGTTTTATTGCGATTTGATATGTGTGGGTTATTTCCATTAACACAACATACCAACATGTGATTTTATTAATCTTAAAAAAACCATCCCCTGATCCCAGGTCTCTCCCCAGCCATTTCCCCATTTCTCTATTTTTCATGATCACAAAGTCCTTTTAGGTGTGTATCTATTTTCTGTCTCCATTTCCTGACCCATTTTTTTCTTGTACCCACTCCGAACAGGCATTCTTCCCTCCTGCTTCCTGGAATCACTCTTGTCAGGGCGGCTGTGCATTCCATGACGCCAGGTCACTTTTCCATCCCCCTCTTGCTGTCTCAGGAGCACCTGACATAGTACATCACTCCCTCATGAAGCACTGTCTTTCCTTGGCCTCTGGAACATTACACTGTCCTGATTTTCTTTCCATTTTATTGGCTGCTCCTTCTCAGTCTTCTTGACTGGAACCTTCTGCTCTTAAAAACCTCTAAGTATGGGAGCATCTCAGGACTCACACTCAGACCTCTTCTTTTTCCCCAGCCACACTCATCCAGTTACACAGTTCAACGTCTTTCTGGAATGCTTAGAGATATCTCTCTCACCCTTCACTGTACTCCTCAGTATTTAGAGGTCTACAGGCATCTCTAACTTACCAAATGAACTTGATTCCAAAGCCCCTTCCTCAAACTACTTCACAATTTCCCGCACATTCTCAGGCAGAGATACTGGAATCATCCTTGACTCCTTTCTTCCTCATACTCCACTTTCAGTCTAACAACAATTCCTGTTGGCCATGCCTTCAAAATACGTGTGGCATCCCAGCTCTTCCAACCTCATTTGCTTCTACCACCATCATCATTGGCCTGGGCCCCGCCATTGTCTTCCAAGTAATCTTCTACATCCGTACGATGGACTGGGTAATCTTTTAAAACTATGTCCAATGTTGTTTCTACTGCTTTTCAACTTCTAGGGCTTTCTAGCACCCATCGAATAGAAATTCATAGTCCTTGTTCTGGCTTCAGAGACTCTGGATAACCCAGCCCCCGGTACTGCTCCAACTCCATCTCCTTCCCTCTCCCTGCTGTGTGCTCTCTGCACTATGGACATCGTGACTCTGGCTGTTTCTTTACTCAAGAACATTTCTAGTTTGGAACTTTTGCATCTCTCTCTCTCTCTCTCTCTCTCTCTCTCTCTCTCTTTCCCTCTCTCTCTTTCAGTTTCTCTTTTATATATCTGGATAGCTCATTCCCTCACTTTATTTTAGGTTTCTGATAAAACATGATCTTTTCTGTGAGACATACTCTGACCCCCCTGTCTAAAATAGCCCCCCCCCAAATAAACAAAATAGCATCCCCCTTCTTGTTGTACTTATCACTATTTTAAATATTGCTAATATGTCAATTTTGAAAAAAGAATGCTGTCCTTGTTGTTTAATTGATGTTAGATTGTATATTTGTTTATTTTATTTTTGTCTTTCCCACTAGGATGCAAACTCCTCAAGAGGAAGAATCTTATTTTGTTCATTGCTTTGTCCCTAGGACCTACCACAGTTGTCGGCACACAGTAGGCTTTTAATGAATGCCTGTTCAATTTATGAATGCCGAAAGCCATGTTATCTGACTGGAATTTCTCTTATTTAGCCTTGCCCAATAGATAACTGATCTCAATAACGTAACCATACTAATGTTCATAAAAGAAGGAGCCCATGACTCAGAGAGAGAGCATAGATTGTTCTAGTTGATAAGAAAAGTCAGAAAAGAAAAATAAAACGGTTTGCTTAAGTGATGTAGCCACCTAGAAAAGACACAATTAACTTGTGATTAAGATGGGTGGTTGGGAAATTGGACAGACTGGCCGAAATGTTCTTGATACCAAACTATCCTGAAATCCTAAAGCTGTGAGGGCCCAGATAACATCAGACTAGAGATTAGAGATTGGAGGGAGGGGGAGAGGAGGGGAAAAAGCAGTCTACCTTGGCCAGCATCAGGATTAGAGTGGCTGAGACTCATACTTATTGAGGAAAAGTGAGAAAGGCAGTTAGGCATTTGCTTTTTTAAAATATTGCTAATATATTAACTCTGAAAACAGAATGTTCTCTTGTTGTTTAACCGAAGAATGCTGGTGAGGAAAGCTTGTTGTTTATCTGAGGAATGCTGATGAGGAAAGCTGGTGTTGGTCTTGGTGTTTTTACAAAGATAATTTGTGAAGCATGTTGCAAGCACCTTAATGAATGCCTGACCGTCCAGATGACGTGGCAGGTACAGAACCCAAGAAAGTAACCTCTTGCATCCTGAACTTAAACTTCTTCATATAAAGGAAGGATAGAAAATTAGAACCATATGTGCAAGAAGAAATATCCTGTGGAGTCCCCTGAAATTATGTGCAAAATGTCGGGCAGATAAGCATGTGGACATTTTTCTGGGAACACATCCATAAATGTCATCTCTCAAAGGGGCCTGAACTTCAAAACAAGATTAAAAGTCACTCGCATACTGTCTATATGTTTAGACCAATTTGGACACGACGAGGAAAGAACTGAAAACGATTCCTCTTCTCGCACCATAACCCTCCCCCATCCCATACATCTCCCGTGTGCCCCTACCCCCACCTAACCCAACCCCCCCTGCACCACGGTGACAGTGAAAACTCAGAATTGATGGAGAGTGGGGAGGAGGGGACAAAGGATGAGAGAGGGAGTAGAAAAAAAAATCAAGGAAAGGAAGTAGTAGGGGAAAGTGGAAAAGAAAAGAGGGGGCAGATGAGAAAAACAGGCTGAGTGGTTTGTGCTCACTCAGTCATGGGAAGTGGAATCAAAACTTGGTTAGGAAGAGACCCTCACAGCCCACAACCACAAAAGAATGATGAGGTAACAATTCTGTGTGTAAGTGACGGGGGGTGGGGGGGGGGGTAGAGCGGGGAGCCTTGAAATCATCGTCACCTGAGCGTGAGTGGAAAACAAGTGGGGACTTTAAAGAGGGTGACACAGGCTTTCAGCGGAGTCCCCGCTCCCGAGGCTGCTGCCTGACGGGTGCTTTCCGGGGGGTCTGTGATTCAGTCATTCCTGTTTACCAAGAGGGCCTGGAAGGAACACGTAGCTGTTAGCACCGACTCATTTTCCTTCCAGGGTCACTCTACTCAGAAACTAGAGTGATTCACAGGGGCCATGGATAGTTTTCTGAGATCAGTAGCATGGAACCAATCCTTTCACATGATGGGATTCTGCCTAATGAGACCCCCACCCCCACCCCACCCCACCCCACCTCACCCAGTATGTTCACAGGCGCTGGTAGCATC